GGCAGGGAGGAAGTGCGGTTGGCCGGGAACCCGAGACCCAGAAGAGTCCTATATGGAAGCCGGTAACTGCGATTCCTTGCGAATTTCAGGAGTCCGTGCACCTGAATGCTTGGTCAACACCGCATAACTTTTGGATTTTCCCCTCACCACATATTTTTTTTCATGAAACTGAAACTGATCCCGACCGTGTTGGGCCCATTTCTTCTCAGTTATCTCAGTATAAAAGCTGTCCGGCGCATAATGTTTGTTATTGGTGATTCAATAGTAAGAGATCCAGGGGTGGCACAGTCGGGCGGCACTCGCCTTCCTATTTTATTGATTAAAATACATTTTCATTTGTTAATAACAACAAATTTCGTTCGCTTTCAACTGCAGAGTAATTTGATATTTTCAAAGAAAAATTCTCACAAAAGATACGTCCCATATCTTCTTGGGTTACCCCAAAAGTTGCAACCAAAAAATGTATTGCATCTGCCGCTCCTTTTCTTGTGAATGGTTCATCCATCCATCCATAGTTAGACAGGTCTGCTCGAAAAATACAAGCAGGAAAAAAATGAAATAAACTCAAAAGAAACAAGCAATCCCTAGTTGCTGGAATTTCAACAACGGAAAACGACATCGATATTGCAACGGATGTCAAATCAGTATTAGCTTTTGGTTTTAACCCATTGTCGCCTGAAAGGGCCGCGCAGAGGCCATTCAGTATTCCCCCACAGTAACCCATGTTAGATTTAATTTGGATCAGGCTGACTGAAACTTAATGTTGTCATCTTAATTAATCCGTGCCTCATTGGCCATAAGTTTAATATCTGAATTCGGAGTTACAAAAATGGCATAGTCAAGTAGCTCCCTTTTCAAACCCAATACTTCCAAAATGTACCTGTTATTTCAAACCGGTTTGTATGTTATGGGTAGTTCAGTAAAGCCTCCTGGGGGATGAGGGCATAAAACCAGACCCCAGGCCCCCCCCAAAAAAGTAATTCGGCAAACACGACAGACATACAAGAAAATTTCACAGTGATCATAATCTCACAAAACACACAGTTTTACTCTTAACTTCCTGAATGTCACACAAACAAGACAGTACACGTATGTAATAATGTGAGCCAAAACCTGTGGGCGCTATTTCAAATTAACGTGGGAGAAGTTGGCGCGAGCTCAATAATTTGTGATCCCTCGGGGTTTTTACGATAAGACATGCCATAATCAGGAGGGATTATAGAAATATTTCTATAAATCCTGAATTTGGGACTGGTGGCTTCCAGCTTGGGGTATTTCGTTTACAAAAAAGCCCCAAATTGCGGGCCTATTTTGGATAGAGGCGGGCAGCTACCTTCAGAGCTGAGCGCATATTTTATTACTATTTTGGGGGTATCTTCGGGGGAAAAGGCGAATAATTTTTTTTTCGTGGCTAACCCCCATCAAATTGAAGCGAAAAGTGATCTTCTGGCCACAATCTTGAATTTCCACTGAAAAACGGAGAGTCAACAGGTGGTGCTATTTCAGTCTGATTTTCACTGTTTAAGGGCACGTATTTGGCGTAGGCATGTGTGCGTGCCTGTTGCGGCGGCGCCTGCGCCTGTTGCTGAACATAGCGTATTCACACGCAAATGCCGCCCTTGCGACAACAACGGTAATACGCGTAATTACGCGTATTCACGGTGTAGTTCTCCATCTTACGCCACTGGGCGGCGCTAATCTTTGGTACGGCTCATAGGTCATGCCATGTCCTATTCAAAACTACAGAGGTTTTTGTGATCTGCGCAGCACCCGACTAAAATAAAAACTACGGGCAAGTTCACCCCTAAGTATAGGGAATTTATGCACAGTTGAAGAATTCCAGCAATAAAATTCCATGAAACCAATTTTTTTGATCGTGAAAAAAAGTTTATTTACTTTATCTGGCCCTAAGGAATTTGTAACAATGCGGTTATAAAATTTAGGCCTAGTAGTTCTGACGAGCAATGAGTGTTGAGCGTAATGCGCACTGAACACGCTGTCATCAGTCGCTTTGCTCATTGTTTGACCACACTTTTCAAAAGCAGTTACACGCGCAAGACCGGCGATCTATGCGTTTAAATGTCTAGGTACAGCTAGAGGTGCCAAGCCTGTTCTTGTACGCTACGCCAAGTTTGCACAAGAACGGGGTGGCATGTACCATGTGACGTACACACACTTACGAGATCACCCATTCGCGTAGGCGTCCGCGTTGTTCATGCAGAATGAAGCAATTTTACGCTCCCCGCATCACCACCAGTTCAATTTATGTTCTCTCAGAGCGGAACAAACCAGGGCGTGGTTTTTGGTACTCACAGCACAGGCATAAGGTTGCACTACACCAAATACGCGCCCGTAGAAAACAGTGCAAATCGGACCGAAATAGCGTCGCCTGTTGACTCTCGTGAAGAGGTTGGCCTCCGTTTTTTCACTGAAAATTGAGGATTATGGCCAGAAGATCACTTTTCGTTTCAATTTCATGGGTTTAGCTAAGAAAATACTGTTTATTCGCCTTTGAACGAAGATACTCCTAAAACAGAAGTTAAACTAAGCGCTCACTTCTGAATGTAGCCGCACGCCTCTATCCAAAATAGGTCCGCAATTTCGGGCTTTTAGTGAAAGAAATACCCCGAACTGGAAACTATCAGTCCTAAATTCGGGATTGGTAGAACTATTTCTATGATGCCTCTTGAATATGGCCTATCAGCCTACCACCCCTCTGCAAAACGGCCAAATAGTGCCATCATTTTCGGATCCGACTGCATCCAAATTGCTCAGAATTTGAAGCCCAAAGTCCGGGCCAGAGGTTGAGTGCCATATTTCTCCAATTCCTCAATTTCATGGCTCTCAGGACTCTCTAATATAGAATATTTTGAGTGTATAACTTTTATTAATGATCTCGGCGGACGTTTTAGGGCCTTTTGCGAGGGTGCACCCTCAAGGTGCATAAACTTGCCCATCTATGCGGTGCGTGAGTACCAAAGGACTGTCGATTTCATTTCAAAACACGCCCGGCCCCCTTTTATTCCTGCATGCTCGGAGCGGGAAATAGACTCCCGTTGGTCGATAGTTGAAGTTGGGCGTATACAAGTAACTCCATATGCACACAGTGCATGTGCAGTGGACCTAGTTAAAACTTAAGTGACGTCCCAGTTGATACACCTGCCTATACGTTCCAACTCTTTCACAGTGTTATATGAAAGACTCACCATTTTTGCCTTGGGGGGGGCTCTCTTTTTTCCTTTACAAGCATGAAATGACAGCCCAATCATTAGCCCAATAGTTCAGGAAAATAACACGTGCTTGTGTGGTGGATCTGATGTGCGGTGTATGGCTCTCCGGACTCAACCTGTTTACAGCAAATTCCTTCTCTGAAAAGCACTTTTTCGGTCATATTATAATTCGTTTTCAATATTGTAGGCCTTCACAATTGTGGTTCCTCGTATTAATCCTTGCATTTTCCCATTAGTCCCTTTTTTACAGTCCAGTGTGACGGTGATCCATGAAAATCGTAAAAAAAAAAAAAAGAACACAAAAACCACTGGAACCGGAGATTCAAGTTACTCCCAAAACCACCGACCTGGAAGCTACCAGTCCAAAATTCATTCGAGATTCATGGCAATATTTCTATGTCCCTCCTGATTATGGCATGTCTTATCGTAAAAACAACGAGGGATCACAAATTATTAATGAGCACGCGCGCAGAAATCCAACCATTTGGTGAAATGCATCCTCTCCCACATTAATTTGAAATAGCGCCCTCAAGTTCCGGTTACATATAACGTACGTGTACCGTCTTTGTGTGTGCAACATTCAGGAACTAACTAGTAAAACTGCATGTTTTGTAAGATTATGATCACTTTGACATTTTCTTGTATGTCAGTCGTGTTTGTCGAATTACTTTTTGGGGAGGAAGGGTCTGGTTTTATGCCCTCATCCCCCAGGAGGCTTTACTGAACTACCCATAACCTACAAACTTGTTTGAAATAACAGGTACATTTTGGAAGTATTGAGTTTGAAAAGGGAGCTACTTGACTATGCCATTTTGTAACTCCGAGTTTCGGTATTAAACTGCTGGCCAATGAGGCACGGATTAATTAAAATGACAACATTAAGTTTCAGTCAGCCTGATCAAACTTAAGTATAACGGGAGTTACCGTAGGGGAGGGGGCAGGATGGCCTAAGCGCCTTTTCAGGCGACGATGGGGTAAAACCAAAAGCTAATATTGATTTGACATCCATTGCAATATCGATGTCGGTTTTCGTCGTTGAAATTCCAGCAACTACGGATTGTTAATTTCTTTCGAGTTTATTTCATTATTTTTCTGCTTGTATTTTTCGGGCAGACCTGTCTGACTTGGG